TTTGTTCTTATTCAGGTTGGTAATTTAAATCTATAGCGAACTGACCAATCATTTATTACTTTTTTTCATATTAAAAAATGAAATTAAATTTTAATTATTTTTATCTATTGTAGTTTATGCTTTATGGATTTTGTCAATGTTTGGATACATTTTTATATGTATGGACTTTTTTACCAATACGTATTACACTTGCTTTGATACAAGCATTTGGTACATTATGTCGAATACGAACTTCAAAACCGTAAATAGAAAAAACAAAAAAAGTGATTATTTATTTGATTGCTTTTATTTAGTAATCGTTTATTTGAACCAGCACAAATTATCGATATTGTCAAAGGACTTGTTGTTTTTGGTTGTGCTGCGCCTATGTGTTTTATGGATATTTCAGTAGTATATCATACAGTTCGTGCTCAAGCAGCTATTAAACTTTATATGTTTTTCAATATGCTCGAAGTATGTGTAAAAATTTGACTGAGACGAAAAACAAAAAACCTTCTTTAATATATCAAATTTTAAAGGTATGTGATCGTTTATTATCTTCATTCGGTCAAGATACACTTGATGCTGTTTATTGGACAGCGACTGAACCACGTCGTAAACATAGTGCTGGAAAATTATTTCTATGGCTTATTATAGCTATTGTTTATTGTAGTAAGTAACATATTAATAAATGAAACTTAAAATATTGACAATAATAGAAGATACTTTATGAATAATAAATAAGATCATTTTTGATGATAATTATTCACATATAGTATGTATAAAAAATTTTATAATGATGTAACAATAAAACATATTGTTGTCTAACAGCTATTTTTATTTCAGTCTATGACATTTACTGTTATAGTTTCAAGATCTTTTAGAGAGAACATGGGATCTATGACAATCGATAGCAATCCTGGAATATAAAATCGGCAAAACAAAATTGTCCTAGAAGTATGGAGAAATGACTCAGAAAGGTCCAGAGAATAATTAACAATCTACTAAATGATAAGGCAACTACTTCTCGATTTCTCGAGAGCATGTAAATCATTTCGAGAAGACAGACAAGTGAATTTTATATAAAAATGCATATGTGCATGAAGAAAAGCGCACATATCGAAAAGATAACAATTTGAGTATTGCACCGGAGTCCGAAACCTGACTCCGACTTCGATGGAATCAGAGTCGGAGTAAAAAATTGAACTAAACTCAGATTTTTCGATTTAGACTCTAAAGAAAGAAGTTGAACTGGTAAAGATTGTAAGAAATTATTTTTGGCAGTTAATATCTGAGTTATATTAGTACAAGAAAAAATCAACGTATCTGATTTTGTTGTAGAAACAAGTTTTTTTTCATGAATACATTATATAATAAACAAAAATATGCTATTGTTAGTTTTATAAATAAATTTTAAGCAGAATTAATGGCCCAAGAAAGATATTGACATTAATCACTACTATGTTGAAAAAATAAAGTATACTAATCAAGAATATATTCTTGACTAAATTATCGTCGACATTGAGAAGCAATTATTTGAGGTCGTTGTTCATTTTTTATGAATATTATTATTTGATGATTCTCTTAAAGTTTCCATATTCTTGTGAAGTAGTATTATTTAGTTTATTTTTTCACAATCTAAATGTGTTCGTTTTTCTATAACAATGTTTTTTGCTTCTGACAAAAAAAAACGTTCAATGATTATATTCAAAGTTGGCATTCCATAAACCATTTTTGCAATGCTTGATAAGATTGAATATAAATGCTGTTAATGTCGCCAAACTAATAAAATATCAATATTATCAGAAAAATTCTAACTAAAATCAGCAGCCAAATAATCATCGATTTCTTGATATGAATTCGCTATCGTTAAGTAAAAAAAAAAATTTCGGAGTTTTTTCGGAATCGAGCCGAGCTTCAGAATCAAAAAGTGTGACTCCATTGATCCCTAATAACAATATAGAGTGTACAATATGTGATTAGTTAATGAAGGTATGAATAGCAGTGAGATAGACAATATAGAACACACAAAACATGTTGATTTATGGAGAACATGTATCACTGGTAGTACAGAATGCTAGGTTCTTGTTAAAACAAATCGAAAACAACAAATGAATAATAACAACTAAAAGAAATAATAAACTTTAGTAGTTCAATTCAAAGTGGCTATTAACATGTTTTGATAAACGCATTGTAGGGTACACTCAGTGATTTATCTAGTGGGTAGACGACGCCCACCCGAAATTTTGATTCATCCACTCGAAAATGTATAACAGTCACTCATGTACTGGTTGGGTCAACTGGGCGCCGCCCACCCGAAATTTCGATTCGCCGACTCGGGAAACGAAACCTAGATAAAACACTGAGTATACTTGAATTTGTCAGAATAATGAATCAACTATCTACTCCTGGGATAAATGTACCATTTGTAAAAGTAACCTATCTTCCTATAAAATGCTTTTTTTATTATCACAATTGAAACGGAAACCGTTAAATTATCAGGTTGTTGAGATTATAAATGCCATATATATTTCAGTCTTTGAAAAAAACCATATTATACATATATATATATATTTGAATGTTTAGTCTCATGAATGAAAAAATAAAGATTTTTTGACAATAGATTTGTTTAAAATAGTAGCATTAGACTGTATAGAAATATTTACTTATGCTTTACTTCTAGTAATTCATGCAATACTTGTTCTTCTTCAAGCCATTACATTAAATGTTGCTTTTAATTCACAAAATAAAATGTTGTTAATTATAATGTTAACAAATAATGTAAGTTTAAGAATTCATATATATATATTGATCAATTAAATATTTATTTTACTTAATATTTATAGTTTATTGAATTAAAACATAGTGTATTTAAAAAATTTGATCGAAATAATTTATTTCAATTATCATGTAGTGATTGTCGTGAACGTTTTCATTATGTTATATTATTATTTGTTGTTTGTGTACGTAATCTTGATCAATTTAATTGGGATATGAGTCAATTTTGGCCATTAATTGATTTTATTGTTGTTGTTTTTGTTGTTGAATTTTTTGTTGATTGGGTTAAACATGGATTTATTTTAAAATTTAATGAACTTTCATCAGAAGTTTATCGAGAATATACATTAAGTTTAGCTCATGATATGGTTAAAACAAAACAAGATATTGTATGTTTAAATTTTTTTATTTAATTTTTTGTTTAATTATGATTTTAAAAATTTCATTTCTATTATTTTTTTTTTTCTTCAAGGCTCTATCCGATTATACAGATTTACTTAGTCGTCGATTAGGATTTATACCATTACCGTTTGCTTGTTTAGTTTTCGGTGTACTTTTTCAAACAATTAATGTTAAAACAACTCTAGCAGTATTTAATGTTTTATTAACATTTTTATGGTAAAATATTTCAGATTAGTTAATTATTTATTTTAAATAATATTTTCCCTTTTTTTTTTTTGATAGTCTATTTGCAACAAAAATTGCTATTGGAACAATTTTATTGGGTATTTCTTGTGAATATGTAACTAATAATCGAAAAGATAGTCTAAATATAACAATTCCAATTAAAGAACAAATGACAAATACTACAAATGATGTACCAACAATTGAAATAACAACTACACTAACACAACCCATAGAAAAAACTCATACACGTAGTATGAGTCTCGTACATTTAAATCAATTACTTAATAAACAAACATTATCTGAATCAACAACATTACCATCAGTTGATGGTGGAGATGAATTAAATGAAACATCATTTCGTGATGCTGATGATAATTATCAATGTTTAATTAATGATCAAAATTGTCCACCAGTATCAACTTTTTCAAAAACATCAATATCTACTATTAATACTAATGATAATATAAATAATAATAATGCTTCAACAATATTAACAGATAAAGATGATGGTATTGTTTTTACAGCACAAACATCAACAACAAATAAAAAACAAGATTTAAATGATGTTGAAAGATATAAAATGTGTGGAAATTCAATTATTATTTGAAACTAATATATAATATATATGGAGTATTTATTGTTTTGTTATTCATTAAAGTAAAGAAAAACAAAAAACTTTTTTGTGAATTTTCTTATAATAGTATTGTGCACAGTGCGCAGATGCTAATGTTTGATTCTATGTTATAACGTTAATAAATTCAGTGCAAAAAATACATCATCTTTTTTGCTTTTTTTTTTGTCATCAATATCTCAAATAATTTATGAGTTTTTAGTATAACATACGAATATTTATATATTTCGAATTAGAAGTCTTAATAGATTGGATTGTGTCGAGAAAAGCCATTTCATAGGCTATCAACCTTTCACTAAAACCTGGCGAGTTAGTTCGGGATGAAATTTTTCTGTTAAACATCCATAAACCAAGTCCGAATCCGAAGATTTCGGACTCGAATATTCAAGTATCAGTAGTTGATATAAAAAAAGAAAACCTCGTAAAAGCTTTACTTTGTTCATTTTTAATAACAATATATGCTTATGATCGTTGTTTCGAATGAAATTCGATCTATTGGAATGTATACTGTTTTGTAAATCTTTTTCTTTATTTTTGCTTGCCATTCATTGCAGAAATGTTTTAGCTAACGAAAGAATTACATGAAATTTTTGAAAATTTAGTAGAACTACATAATATCTTTTGAACATTTTTTATTACTATTCGAGATTCTACCTGTGAGTGCGGATTGCAATACTCAATCAGCTTCATCCAATTCATGAAGATATTTGTTGTGAATTTCATAAGAAATTACTTGCATTCTAAAATTTCCATTAGCTCTGATGAGTTTTAATTTATTTCCATAGGTTATTAGTTCTTTCTGTATTTTCAACTTTTTTTCTTTGAATTGGACAGTTCACAAAGAAAAAAAGATTTTTATAAATAAAAACAAAAAAATGTTGCTACATTATGTAATATGCGAGTTTATAATATTCAGCATGAATAAAAATTGATACTAACAAAAAACTACATGAAAATAAAAAGGAAACGTATTGATATTTAGTATTTACTTATCTTTCTTATCTTTCGTGTCTTTCTTATCTTTCGTATCTTTCTTATCTTGTTTTGCAACATCTTCACCAATTTTCTTTGCTTCTTCAGCTTTCTTTTTTAATAAATCTTGTGCTTGTTGAACTGTTTCTTTTGATACACCATTGTCTTTAAAAATTTTAGTTAATTCTGATGATGTATCTTTATAAAGTTTTTCAAGTTCAGGTTTTTTTTCTTTAGCTTTGTCAACAATGTCTTTTAATTTGCTATATTGATCCGAAATTTGTTCTTTTAATTTTGGATTGTCAGAAATTAATTTATTGTATGCATCACCACCAGCTTCACTAGCTAAATCTTGAAGTTCTTTAACACGTTTTTGAAGAATATCTACAGCTTTACTGGCTGTTTGTGCATCTAAAGCACCTTCTTTAGCAAGTTTTTCGAAATCTTTATATGTTTCATCAAATATTTTTTTTGCATCATCACCATGATCTTTACTAATCTGTTCAATTTGATCAAATACTTTTCCAAGAAATGGTGCCGAACCAGGAATTAAAGTAGTAGTAGCTGAACGCAAATAGCTGACAGTATTAGCTGCACTATCCGGTGCATCGTCAGCTGTTTCTTTCACTTTTTCTTTGATTTGCTGAGCTTTGTTAATAGTGTCACGTGCAATATTAACAACTTGACGCGTGCCACTAAAGTGATACCATGCAAAACCTATTTTATAAAAAAGAAAATGCTTCGATTATGTATAATCTAAATTCGATTCTGTAGATGAGAATAAGAAAGAAGAAATTGTTTAAAAATTTATAAAAATCTACTAAATATAATCATTCTTATTAATGTTAACATTGTGCACTGAATAACTTTGATCACATTTATTGTCACGTGACTGAAAAAACGTACCTCCAAGAAGTGCAGCAAGACCACCAGCAGCACCGGCTACAAATGCAGAACTTTGTGATTGTTGACCACCATATGCACTGCGTGACTCCTAAACAAACATTCGTACAAAGTTTAATGCTATTGTTTAAAACAAATTGAACCTAACCCAACGATATGGAGCAGCTGTTCGAATAGTAGGATTAACACGAACTACTCGCATAATACCATTGATAGCAATACGATTCATCTTCTTTTTGTTTTTGAGAAACTAAATGTGATGATTCTGTGTATGTATCTTGACTTGTTTTTGTATAGAATGGGTCATTTCGTGTAAAATTTAGTTGTTTTTTCCTTGAAAAGCAATATTTCTGATTGGTAATCTAATAAACCAATTCTCAATATGGAGTAAGTGTATGTATGTAAAATCTATGACGATGTCACTCGCTAGCGACTATATAATATGAATTATTCCTTCAAAAATATGCATAAAGTTGTTTGCACATCTGAGTATTCTTAACGAATATTCGAATTGAGAGTTATGTCAGTAACATGACAAAATATTCTGAGCGTAAGATCAAATTATGAATCAAATAGAAGTTTCAGATTCTAGAGAAAAATATCATGTAGAGCGACAAAAAAAAATAAAAAACTACTTTTCTTAGTGCGAAATTATGAGTTAAAATATGTATTTCGATTTAATATTCAATATATATTCATAATATTTTATACGCTCTATCCAACAGTGTCTTTTGTTTCATCAAGCAAGATTGCTGAGACTAACATAAACAATACAATATTCTATAAGGAAGATCTGTAGACATCATCTATTGAAATATTCGCAAAAACAAGTTGTCCTAGTCGAAAACAAACAACTTTCTCCTGGCAGAGAATGTAATTCGATATCGTTTGGTAGTTCTCCTTTATTTAAAGAAATATTATTGGTTAGGAAAAAATTACATACTATTTAGTTTACCAAAAGTTTCTTGAAATCATATACCGAAATATTGACAGAAAAAGATGTCAATCACCACTAATAACCATTCGAACTGTATGGGTATTCTATTTTTTCGTATAACTGCCTAGATGAAGGATGTGCAGTCGGTTCCGCTCGAAAGATTCCGCAAAAACATCAGAAGATGGAATACGATGTCTGAACTCAGGATTGGAATTTACTTGCTTTCGGCTGTAAATGGTCATAATCGAATAGAGTCGACTGTTTGGCATGCTCAGCATAATAATTCTTCTTAGTTTCTACCATTTCTAATGTCGTTTCATATATGTCAAACTTAAAAGTTGAACTCAATTCCAGTTCAACTGTCAAACATGTATATTCATTACTTCTCTCAAACAGTGCCACGGAAAGCTATTCACGGATTTCAGCTGAGGTTAGAATTCAAATAAACTCAGTGAAGTATGAGTGAGAGTAGAACGTGATTTAAATGTTTATAATGTTTTTATAATTTTTAAGGATATGGCGAAAGCATTGAGATATTAAAGTATGGAAAAAAATCCGTAGAGTTTTTCTAATCGGTATATCTCTGCAGCCGTTCAAGCAATATCAACAAATACATAGTCATTTTAAAATACACTTTTTATATAAAAAAACAGTTTCTAGCTTGAGAAAGAAAAGAGATATAAACGTGAGAATATCATTAATGTTTTTAGACACATTTTTTTTGCTTATGTTGAAAAGTCTTTGTACAAGATATTTATTCAGTTGCCGGCCACCTATAACTCACTAGAGCGAACCAAAAATAGTCAGTTCTCACGAGCACTTCATGCTCTTTCTAAATTTATGTTCAATTTTTTTTTCTGACCTATGGTTGGTTCATTAGAAGCAAATCTTTGAAAGAAACCACAATGACGTTTGTAAAAAAACACTCAGTGAACAGGTCTTAGTACATATGTTCACTTATATTTCGAACACCTAAATGCCATTAAGGAAAATGAAAAGCAATCAAATAGAGTCAGAAATCAATACTCTTTCCATATGTATTTTCAGAAATTTTCTCTCATGAAAGACTGATCAGCAGTAAGTAAATAGGTGAATAAATTAAACAAATGCTTGCATCTAGCAAAGTATGCTTTTTCCCATTATTCGAAGTTCGAAATTTCAAATGCAATAAGTTTTGATCCTTTGTAGCAGTATGTAACAAGAGTAACAAATTATGCATTTTATAGAACACGTCTCGTTCTATAAATTGATATATAACAAAATTTTCTCATAGCCTGTATCAAGGTAACTTTAATCAAAATACAAAAAAGAGATGCATCAAAAATGCTGTACAGACGTCGTTTTTGGTTCCGCCAAGAATTTGGTCTTAAGGAAACAAACGATACGTTAGAAAAACATTTTGAACATATATTTAGAAAGAGTATGAGATACTCCTTGAAATGACTGCTTACTTGTCGCAATTACTTAAACGGCTGCACAACTATATCGATTACAAAAGGTCTGCGAATTTTTTTCCATACCTTACATATAGATATTGGAAACTTGAAACTTGAGGAGTAATTGTTCAATTGGATTCAACTTTCAAGTTTGACAGTACTGATTTAGTCAAAATTTTCCTACGGCTCATCAGTTTGCAATTATATGAACACGACATTAGCTGCATTAATTTATCTGATCTAGACAAATATAGTGATGTTCTAGGGATGTCACGATATAATGAACAATTACATTCTATCGACTGTCATATAGATATAAGCAAGGATAAAAAAAACCTTTTATGTGATTGCAAAAGCTTGCTGATTGTTCCGAGTCCTTTGAATGAAATGTATGATAGAAAATATTCATGAAAAATTAGCTTCTATAAGTCCTTATAACATAGATGATGACGATGTACGATAATATTCATGATAAAAAAGACCGATTGATATCGTAAATGGGTGATTATGTTGAAAAATGAACAACATATAATGGCATTGGCTACGATTTTGCACAATGTTTCCTATTTCTACCAAAAAAAGGAATTAACTTGAATACTTTTTTTTTAAAGATCTGAAAATAAAACGAGGGCGGATTTCGGGTTCTTCATAGAACGTTCAGAATAGAGATAACATTTATTATAAATACACCAATGGCAAGAATAAACATTTCTCTACAAAAAGATATCCTTATCATTCGGTTTGTATGAGGTATCTATTAACAATGAGATTTTTTTATAAGCGATGCAAAGATATGTGCGCAATATCTTAATTTCCAGACTTGTAAAGTGAATCGAGTAGTTTCAAGTTGAAAGTTACGAGATTGTCAGTTCTTCGCTGACTTTGTAGAGAACAGTCTTGACTCTTATAGTGTGCATAAACAAATCTCAAATAGACGAAATCCAATACGAGACATCCTTACTGAGAACGAATTCTACTATTCAGGTGCTTATCCAAAAATATTAAAAATATGATACAGTCAAATGTAGAATTAAATGAAATAAGAGCTTTTTCGAAAGTACCGAGAAAAATCGCGGACAACAGCGTAAAATCAATTGCAAACATGATACGACCATATTCTTTGTCCAGTCTTGACCAATGAGTCTCATAAAAGTTTTAATACAGATTCCGAACGAACAGAACATTTTTGATTTTAAACAAGTGTTCCATAATTTTTGTTGACTTTCTTCATCGATCGATAGAAGAACAAACAACATTTTTCAAGATATCTTTGAAAATCATAAATTTAATTGTTCTACAAAAATAAACTTTAATATCTTAGATTGTTATTGAACTGATTAAATGACGATATGATATCTTTTTTTTATCAGTTCCCTTGTTCTTTTCTTTTTCTTTGTATATTATTTTAATAATAGCATACAACAAAACAAAACGTTAATACATTTAGTTTGATGTTGTAGTTGATCGATAATTTATGATCGTGGTCGTTCTTTCTTTTCACGGTATAATGCCCACAAAGAGACATTAGCAACTTTGACGACTTTGAAACGAACACCCGGAATATCACCGACGGCATGACCCTTACGACCGAAACCAGCAATTAAAACTTCATCGTTTTCCTATGACAAAAACAAGAACAAGTTTTCAAAAAAACAAAAGAAAAAAATACAAAATTTACTTCAATGTAGTTAAGACAACCATCACGTGGTACAAAAGCAGTGATCTTTTTACCATTTTTAATCAGCTGAACTCGAACACATTTACGAATAGCTGAATTAGGTTGTTTAGCTTCAACACCACTAAGAAATAGATTTAAACAAAAAAAAATTTTTTTCCTAATAAAATAAAATACAAAAATAAACATACACTTTTTCAAGTACAATGCCTTTAGCATGAGATGCACCTGCAAATGGATTACTTTTCCAGCGTGTACCTAAGTGAGACTTTTTGTAATCTTTATCATGCCATCGTTGTTCACGTCGATGATCTTTAAGTTTACGAGCTGTACGAAGACCACGAGGTTTACCTATTTTATTTAACAACAGAAAAAAAAAAAACAAAATAAATACAATTATACTTTTTGACATCGAAACAAAAATAATTTACCCATTCTATTGATATAAAGATAAAAAAAGAAACGGGCGGTTATCTAAAGTAAAAACAATCAATAAAAGACATTATTTCAAAGATAGAAACTTGAATAAAATAAAAAGTTACTCTTCCATAATCAAAAAACGCAATATCTTCATTCGATAAAGGTAAAAACAACCAAAAAAAAGGATTATTAAATGAAACTCATAGATAGAAATTTATTGAAATTGATCAATATGTCTTTAATATATTTATTTATCTATCTACAACATATCTCGTTCTGAAGTAAAATAAAAATAAAAACGAACAAATCAGACAATCATGATTAATAAAAATTGGAGGTTCTATATAGATGTCACTTGATTTTTTTCGTCATATTTTTGTAAACAATAATAATAGTTACTTGAAAAAAACAACTATACGATAGTTTGCATTATTTATAAATTCTTTTTTTTTCTCTATCGGAACTAATTTAACTTGAATATTGACTTAAAGTTTTTCTCGTTTTTTCTTTCAAATAAACAAGTTCTGTGATCTTTATAAGGTTTCATACCAATGAAATATAAGCAGGCGTTACTTCACATTATAGATTCTTTTTTTTTTTCTATTTGCTCTTTCATGTTTTTTTTTTTTCTTTTTTTTTCTCTACTTCATTCTCTGCTCTTTTACTTTTTACAATAGTTGCTAGTTCCAAAAATGTAACTATGGTCATCATCATCATATGAACAGTAGCAACTTCAAATATCTACGAATAGATATATTTCTTGATTTCAAACAAATCAAAATAATTTGACATATGTATACAATAATAGAATATTGATCGATGTCAAATATCTTTTTTTTTATTTTTAGATGAATAATTTGTAATCGATCAACTTGTTTCTCTTTTTTCTACGTTTCATAACTTCTTGTAGTCGAAAATAAATCGAATTGATATTCGAAACAAAAATCAAAAGAATCAAAATTAAGTTTTATTCATTTTATGATATGATGTAAGCAATAAATATTAATATAAAAATAAAAAAAACATGATTATTCTTATTTCTTATTTTTTTAAATAATACTTCTAAAAGATATTCTCATATATAACATGTTGCCAATAAGTCAGACATCACCTGTACCTTCACAACGATCATTAATACCAATTAATATTGAAACATTAGCTGGTTCATCATTTGAATTACTTGTTTCACCTTATGAACAAATACAATATATAAAACGTAAAATTGAACGACGAGAAGGTATACCTGTTTCACATCAACATCTTATATGGAAATCTAATGAACTTGAAGATGAATCATGTTTATATGATTATAAAATTGAAGCTGGTACAACACTTAAACTTGTTTTAGCTATGCGTGGTGGTCCTGTTAATACAAAACGTGTACCTATTGAAGATAGTTTTATACGTGAAATGTCAGAATATATTGAAAATAGTCGAGATGATTATACATTAACAAGTGATTTATTACCATCATCAAATAAAAATGTTACATTTCTTGTTTTACGTGATGGTGATCAATTTAATTTTTTTCAAGTTATTGATAGAGGTGACGGTACACTCTCACCTTTGTCCGGTTCTATGAGGTATATGAAAAAAAAAAATACTAATAAAATGATAAATTATATTATTTTATTATTAGTAATACATCAATGTATAATACACATGAAACAATGACTGTTGAACAAGAACGTAAATATGATGAAAAACGACAAGCTGATGATCGTAAAACAAAAGAAAAAATGGAATCAATTCGATCAAAATTAAAAACACATACTAGAAAAGTAACAATTATAAATATATAAATAATTTAAGCATTTTGAGAAAAGAGAAGAATATCATGTGTTTCAATTCTAATTCAACTAGTATCTTAAAATGTCTTTTGTAATAGTAGCTAGAAAATTTCTATTAGGAAAAGTACTGTTCATTTCAAAACATCAATGACGAACTCATAAAACTTAGACTTTAGGTTCTATTAATTTGAATAATTTTTTTGTTTTTCAAATACATAAAAATATTGGTAAAACTATATTTTCTAAAATACAATAAATTATTATTATTATTATATTTCATAATTCTCATAAGAACGATTACTGCTGAATGATTATTCAGTATCATGAATCGAATAAAACTATATTTATACTGTACAAGGATTTAATAATGTTTAATTCATCAAGAAAAATTAGTTTGACTTGATTTGAATAGTATGCATTGCGTTTTAATTTTTGTTCGAAACAATAAAGCATTAAATAATTATTACACTTATATAAAATTATCATATTAGCAAACAAATCATTTTTCAATCTACTCTTCCGGCTAGTTTAGTTTAAAAGCCGAACCTACTCTAGATGGAAACCATTCCTCCGCCTCTATTCTCGAAGCTCATTCGTCTTTCATCACTTGATAATTATGCTACGAGTAATTCAATGATAAAGACAACTCTAAAGATTGTGAATTCATCATTTTCAAGTATATTTTGAAACTATCATTCGTATTGTACTTTCATTTATCTTCTTACTACTTATAGTTAGACCGATTATTTTTATACTGTTTCCTTGAGTCTGTGATAAATGATGACAACGACCATCAATTTATTGTGTATTATCCTTATTGGCTTTATATGAGCTATTTCTTTCTTCTACTACATTTCTGGTTGTACCAATTATCTGTATATACATATAGATACAGTGATTCTCAAAATTATTCATCTAGAAACAAGAATTTTTTGATGATAAAAATGATAGCTAGGTTCTCAAGGATAGGATTTCTGATAAATCAAGTTTCTTTTTTTTTTCCAATACTTCAAATTTACAAATAGAAAACTTTTTGAAATGACACGTCTGTCAGATGTCGACGCTGACTTTTGACTGCAATACATCAATCTTATACGTTATATAATTCTGAAAGACATTTCCTTTTGTTGAGTATTATTTTTTTCTATCATACTGTGTAATTCGAAGTCAACCATATATGTCAAGAATTATATTTTGTTTTTGTTTTTTTGTTCCTAAGGATGTTTTACCAGTTCGTCCATCATCAACATCAAAACAAAAAAAAACAAATTTAATTCATCATCATCGTCGTAATATTCTTGTTGATTCAAGTTCAAATATAAGTACACATGGTGATAATTCATCTGGTACATCATCTTTAGAACCACAAAAACAATCTTGTTCTGTACCATATCAATTATCATCGACAAATCTTATTAATACATATAATATGTTAGCAGCTGCTACTACTGTAGGACAATCAATTTATCTTCATGAAGAAGATAGTGAAGATGAAGAAGATAGTCATGATGAAGATGATGATCAACAACAATTAGAAAATAATCAACAAGAAAAAATTTTATCATCATTACCAACAACATTAGTTAAAGAAAAAAAACAACAATTATTAACATCTAGATCATATTCACCATCAGGATTTTATCAAAAAAAACATCATTCATATGAACAAGAATCATCAAAAAAATCTCTTCAAGATTCTTATTATTATGGTCATAATAGAAAAAATCGAATAGGACAACATAATTCAACTAATACATTAGGTACATATATGCAAAACTCTAGTAATACATTATTTTCAACAAATTGTCCATCGACAACAATTGGTAAATATTTTTAAAAGAAAAATTTCTAATTTGAGAAAAAAAACAAAAAACAAAATATTTTTCATATAATTTCTTTTTTAGGGCCTGTTAGTCAAGAAACGGCCATAACTACAATAACAACTTCTGAGAATGATACAAATACTGGTGCTATTTTAGTCGATAATATAAATTCTGTATTACCAACATTAGATCAACAATCAATACCAATTGTTTCAACATCGTCTCGTATACTTTCGGCAACAATGAATAAAAATTTTAATACATCCGATGAATTAAAATCGAACAATATTGATTCTATATTAGATAATCAAGATGAAAAAATAAATTCAAATAGTGAAATAATTTATCAACAATCTCATACATCACCAATGCTTGAATTACTTGATGATGATATTATTACACCAACAAATGGTTTAACAAGTGCAACATCAATACATGATGATAAAACTGAACCATATAGAAAACGTACAGCTGAAATACAAAGTCGTAATGATACATCATTAAGTAAACCAATATGGACGGATGATGATGATCAATTAATTATTGGTGATGAATATACTATTGGTGAACGTACATCAACAAGTCAATCAATATTATTTCGTCATAGAAATAGTTCTACAAGTACAACAATAGCTACACCAGTACCAACATTTCCGAATGTTGTGAAAAAATCTACATTACCATCAACAACACAACAATTTTATCATTATCATAAAACATTAAATAATGATACAAAACAAACAAAATCATCACCAAGACCACTTATTCCATTAACATTATCGAAATATAGACGTATGCCATCGAATTTACATTTAACAACAACAACAACATCATCATTATCACAACAACAAACATATACAAATACATCAAATTCACCATCAAATGATTTAACTAATAATGATAATGGGAATGGGAATAATAGTACAGATTCTTATAATGAACATTTAATATTAAATAAACGTATTGAAGTATTAAAAACACCAGGTAAAAAACAATCAACACCATCGACTATGTCATCTCCATCATCATCATCGACTACTATATTTCCACCTGCATCTACATCATCGAAAAGACATTTTCAACAACAAGATATTAAATCTATTGGTGCAACAGCTACTGTTCCACCTCCATCATCATCATCATCCTCTCGCAATCCATTAGATAATACTAAAGTAACTATTGGTATGTTTAATTCATTTTTATAAAATGATATTTTAAAATTTGTCATATATATATATTCATAGAAACAATTGGATCGAAAACAGTATCTGCTCTATTACGACAAAATGCCACAATTGAACCAGTAGATACATCACGTGGTGTTGGTAAACATCTTGTTTCACTGCTAACAACAGCATCAAAAGATACAACATCTATAAAAACTGGTATGATTTTATATAAGACAATATAGAAAAAGTTTAACAACAATATATTTTTGATTGTTTTTATTCTATAAAAGTGAAGCATCTAGCTCAAATCCAGATAGTGATTTTAATAGTTAATGAAGTGTTCTATATAATGCATTCTATGTTAAGATTTTACTATCATGATTGGACAGCTACGTCGTTTGATACATCCACAGAGTACTGTGTTTAAGCTTTGGTACCATCATCGATGAAATGATTTTCTTGTCGTTAGTTTGTTTGTATGAGATGCTCAACCATTGATGAATCTTCTTATTAGGCATCGACATGACCACCGTGACTGGAGTGACTCACGATCGTGACCAGTTTCTTTAAAAAAAGTCGTGACCGTGACTGGAGCCTGGTCATGGCCGGTCACGATAAATTTTCAATATGGCCATATAACGGCTATTTTTCTAATCTCATGCGAGAATTCAATCAATTGCAACAAATTTTCTTTGGAGAGTTTTTTTCGAGAGTGCTTAAATTCTACAATCAATCTAAAAATCAGATATATTTTGTTAAATCTGATTGTAAATCTCTTTTCTTTCTTTTTTTCTCACCACCAATAGCCATTATGTTATAATTTTCATAAAGAGAAACAACATTTACTCAACGTTTTATGACCTCGTCTACACTAAAAAAAAATAATATGGTAGTGACTTTATATTAAAATGATGGATACTGCCACTTATAAGTTAATGCATCAATCAAAGTGTATAATGAAGTATCATTTTGTCAAGTTCAATTGAAGCACACAAATCGAACTTAATTTTGAATGGCGATTTAACTGTAATGCGATTTTAAAAAGTGTATTAACTTAATACACTTTTAAAAAAGTGGTGAATCTATGATTTTGGAAGGAAATGAAATCACACGCAAAAAACATATTTTGACATGCATTCGAAATAGTATGAAGGTGTTTTTCGTTCGTTGTCGCTGGATAAAATCGAAAAAATCTTCTCGAATGAAGTACAATCGTTCTGTTGCACTCCTTCACTGTTTCGAAACGGAATTAAATAAATATTCGTTTTCATAGTGTCAGTGGAGGATCTAGGATTTTCAACAACGAGGGCGACTTTCGGTAAAAACCTCTTTTTAGGGATTATCCAAGATAGTATCAACTCATTTTTCGTTTGTTTTTTCGAGACAAACTGGGGAAATTGTCTTGAAAGGAGAGAGAGCGATTGCCCTATTGCTTCCTTCCTGAACCCATCACTGCGTTGTTGTAAAACAGGCCTATCTGTATAATACATATGTACACAGGCGACAGAAAGATATCATACTTATACAAATCATAGAATTTCCATGACTCACGGTCACGGTCATAGCATGACCATGACCAAAAATTGTTGGTCACGCCGATGTCTACTCCTGATAGACAGCATCCCATATCGTAAGATCGCCGAAAAGCAGTGGTATTCGTTCTTCCTTTCTAGGATTTCTAAAAACCGATTACGGGAGTTGTTCAAGTTCCAGAAGATTTTATGGAAACCCTTTTAAACATTACAAAATTTTGAATAAAATGAGGAGTCACCGCCATTTCCACGACCTTCCCTTGAAAAGTTAAAAGGACTACAAAAAACTGGAAAATACGATTTTAATCAATTTTTTGATGAATTTTGTTATTTTTTTTGTTACGGTTTTTGTTATGCTTTTAACTTTTTCAAAGTAAGGTCATAGAATGTCCGACGGCTCTTTGTTTTATTCAGAATTTCATGGTCTTTAAAATCACTCCAACATCTATTTTACAGAAAAAAAAATCAAAAATATGTTGTTGTTAAACTTTTGTACGACCTTAGATATCATTCATGTTTATCACTAATCTTTTTCTTCTATATAGGTTACAAACCATCATCTCGCGATGCCGTCATTGAAGAGCGTTATAAAGTAATATAAATTAAATTATATAATTATATATCAAGATATGTATATATTTGCTTTTATTTTTTAATTTAATAGTTAGATCCAAAATTGAATAATCTATGGTCAAGCCCAACAAGTAATAATCTTTCAACAGTGAGTAGTAGTCTTCAATCCAGTAAATTACCGCCAGTTATTGTCAATCGTAAATCAACATCGAAATGTTTTTTGTGTAAAAAGAAAACTGGATTAGCTACAACATATCAATGCAAGTAAGAAGAAATATCTTCTTTTTGTGATTTTCAAATAGCAAAAACAAAATAAAATGAATATTTTTCTTATTTTATTTCTTAGATGTGGAAGTTCGTTTTGTAGTGAACATCGATATCCTGAAGCACATGCATGTGCATTTGATTATAAAGCTGAAGGAAAACGTTTAATTGAACGAAATAATCCATTAGTAACTGCACCCAAATTACCGAAGATCTAATTGAAGACAAATACAAAAACAAAAGGAACAATTTAATATTGTTTTTTTTTTCCGTTCTCTATTTTTGTATTCACTGATAAAACAAAAATAAATATAAAATTCAATGCTCATCTTTCCGTCTCTTTTTTTTTTCTTTCTTTTTTTGCATATATGTAAAATGTGTAACAACAGCAACTTTCACATTTTCTCTTCTTTGTTTTTTTTTTCTATCATGAACTGTTTCAATGTGCATGCGTGAGCCAAGTTGTTTTTGTTTTGTTTTGTTGACATTGAATTCGAGCTTGTATTTCGTTTCTTGTTCTTTGGTATCTATTCAATTCAAATCTACTTGGCTCATTAGTTTTCTTTTCTTTTGTTTTTTTTTCTCTATTTATTTATTTCTTCTTTTGTTTTTGTTTGCTTTAACAAGAATCGCGCGTGAATGACTCGCGAGAACAGTAGATGTTCTTTGGCTCCTCGTATTGAAAGTCTCATTCGAGGATAATCCGTATATTTTTGTATAAATATAACAACATTATGATTCTCATATCTAATTGCATTTGATTTTTCTTTGCTTCTTTTTTTCCTATTTGATTGCTTCCTATTTTGTTTTTCTTATTTCTTATTTCTTAAATACAAGATAAATCGTCTTGTTGTTTCTTTTGTATCTTCCGTGCTTGCTAGTGATATTGACCGAAACCAAACACTCACTTATTCATGCTATATACACACAAATACATTCTGTATAAGTATCATATATATATATTTATTTAGGAAAAAAGAGACGATGATGGCAGAAAAAATTGTCTTGTTTTTTTTTTTTTTTATTAATTGTATACGTAATTTTGAAAGAAGTTTTGCCTTTTGTTTTTTTTATTCAAATTGCATATAATATATATTCTAGATTACGAGTAGAATATGGTACAAGAACCATATATTGAACCGCCACCTGAACGAATTGGTAGGTGTATAACTGCTAGGATAAAAAGAAGTGTTTATTGTCAGGCACTCCAGAAAAGTTCGGAAAATAAATAACAGACTAATTTTAGACAGAAAATTTAAAGTTGTATTATAATTTTGGTTGTAAGTATTATATATTTAGATATCGTTCGTGGTACAAATTATCTTCTTGAATCTCTCGGTATTGATCGTCGTATCCGTTCCATTAGTGAATTTACCAGTCCAGTACTCATTCCAATTTATGAAAAGATATGTTCATGTCAGTTAAATGGTTAGAATAGATCAATTAAATTTCAAACAAAGAAAAAAAAAAGATTCTATATTTCTTTATTATTCTAGATGTTCGTACACCTGTTCGTAATCTTGCTGATGAAATACATAATATTCAATGTGTAGTTAATGCTCTATGTTTTGATACAGTGGACTTTGATCTTTCACATATATCAGGTGAACAAGTAGCTAATGGAGATTTATATGCAATGGAAGATTTACTTGAAATACTGACGGATGTTTATCATTGGATTAAAAATGATAGACAAGAAAGTGATGGAATAGGTTTGAAAAACATTCTCACATGATTTCATAATATAAATGTATGTTCTTTTTTCTTCTTTTTTTGTATTTTTTAGCTCATAAAACTCAACCACAAATTCCATCTCTTAATTCGGATCGATCGAGTGTTCAAGCTTCATCTCTTGGTGCTCAAATTGCTCAACTAGCTGATCGACGACGAACATTTGGTAATGATATTGCTGCTCCAAATAGTCTAGTTTATACTGAAATTAGTCCAATTGTTTCACCATCGAGTTCACCTAGTACTCGTCGACGTCAACAAGAAAATATTCAACATGATACTGTTGAAGACTTACAAGAAAAATATCAAGCATTATTACGTCGTTTCGAACAAACAGTACAAATATCATCTGATGCACTTAATTTGTCACGATTATCACAAGGTTTTTAATTTGAATATATCATTGTATAGGTGAAAATTTTCTGTTTCTGTTTTTCTCGTTAATTAGATGCTTCGTCCGCAACAACGTCAGATTTACGTTTATTATTGAATGATTTAACAAATAATAAAAATGATCAAAAGCAACAAAATAAACAGAATGATATACCTACTATTAGTTATAAAAAAGAATATGATGATATTGAAGATGATTTAGCCTTAATTCTTAATGATAAACAACCACAACAAGCACCAAAACCTATTAAATCAAATGATACTCATGAACAAATAAAGTAATATGATTGAAATCTTGCAAAAAAAAACCATCTAACGGGTATCCTATAATAACTGATCATAAATTCTCAACGACATTTTTCTTATGTTTTCTTGTGGTAGTGGGCTGAAATTTTTATCACATCGATATACCTAACAAAGACCTTTAATTTTTCAAAGTTTCATATCTTCAACTAAAACTAATGCTGAAAAGCATGGACAAAATTAACATATCAGAATTTTCGTATTTGATTTTTGCAAGATGTTGATTTTTTGACCAGTGATATTTGTCATTAAATCTAAAAGATTGAAGATATTCAGGTTGGATCTAAACAGGCTCGGGTCTAAAAATTTGGGATCTGATGGATTTTATCGCTCTGTCATGATAGACTATATAGTAAAAATGTTAAAAAAAATACTGTGACAGTTTATACATCTTAATCTTATCCATGCATTTCACCATGAGTTTTAGCTAAAGAGCTGAACTTTGAAAAATTAAATATTTTTGTTAGATATATCAATGCGATAAAAATTGGAACTGTCTACCACAAGAAAAAAAAAGGATGAAAAATACTGTTAACAATTTATCCTTAGTTTTCATTGGACACTCGCTATATTTCAAACAAAAATCGTTTAAATTTTCTTTCTTGATAGACCAAAATTAGAAGATTCTGTTATAACAGCAAGTACAACAACAATAGGACGTAATCGTTTAAATCATAGTGATGAATTTTATCAAATTCGAAGTCAACTTCAAGAAAATTATAATTTAAAATCAAATTTAAATCATTTTCTTGAACAACATTTCAATGATGATCTTGATGATTATAAATCAACAAGAATATTATTACAAAATAATAAAGAACGTCATGATATGCAACATCATGAAATCGATACATCAACATTAAGACTTAATGAACATCAAATACGTTCTCATCGTTCACATTCAGCTTCATCAAAATTAAGACAAAATTCATTACAAAAAGGTTTTCTTCGTGCATCAACAAATACATTGAATGTACGACCAATTGTACATAAACATGAATTTGATGATTCAACAACAATAACTGATAATGATATACCAACAAATGTACAAAGAACAAATAAACATCGTCTATTACTTGGTAATGAACATGATATAATTGAAGTATTAAATGAACAATTTCCTGGAATTTATGTATCAACTGAAATGCAAGCAAAACTTAATGAACAATTTAGTAAACATATCGATAGTGTATTTAAAACAAGAGTTGAACTTCTCAATACTCAACAAGGCAATATGAATGATGTAAGAATAGAAAATATAAAAACTTTCGAGAATGAATTTATTTTTACATAGTATCTATGTGAATATTTTAAGTAGTCGTTTTCTTCTTATTGAACTGTTTAATGCATAAAATTAATAATCACCATAAATCCTTTCTTTCTATATTGATTAACCTTACTAAAGAAGTCGTTAATTTCACAGAAATTAGTAGTGCTAGTCGATTATGTTACTACGAAACTAGACATTCAACTCGAAGCAAAGTAGTGTTTTGATAGCTAATAAAGTTCTCTAATAAATGAATTCTACACCGAAATTTCATAGATAATCTACGAGAGGATTATCATAGCATTACTACAAGTTGGTTAAAAACACGTTTTCCTCATTTTTTTTTGGTGCTTATAACTTTTTAAAGGAAGGTCATAGGAAATATTGTGACTTCTCATTTTTTTCCAGGTTTTATGTTCCTTAGTACGGCACTATTAAATATTAATTTTCACAAAGTCTTGTGATACTTAAAAGAGTTTCATGAAATATTCACATTATTATTTGAACTTGAGTTGAATGTCTGATATCTTAGAAATAAAAAATGCGTTGGCCTTATATTTTCGATCAGTACTTTATATAGTCATATTTTCTAGCTTGAAAAAGTCAAACAAAAACACGATCAAATGACTGAAATTTTACGTAAAGACTTAAATACTTTACAACGTCAGGTAATATAATCAAACATTATCGTTTCATCGAATAAAATAAATAAAAACTTTTTCTTTCTTTTTTTTTCTAGCAAGATATTCAATTAAAACATTCAGCTGAACGTATTCTTAAATCAAAAATTCGTGATCAACGTATTCAACAAGCACGTGTACGTCGTTATTTTCAAGAATATTGTCTTGATCAACGAAAACGTCTATTGAAAAAACGTACTAATGAAGAATTAATATTAAAACAAGCTTATAAAGATTCTATACGTATTCAACGTGAACGTTTACATGAAATGAAAAAATATAAACAAGATTATAATGGTTTATTTCTTGCACGTTATCGTAATCAATTAGAATCTCTTGAAAATTATTATCGTCAACGTCTTGATATGTTTAAAGAACTTGAACAAAAAGAATCAGCTATCCAACGTGCAAATGATCGTGAAGATAAATTAGAATTAAATAAACAACGTTTACAATTACGTAAACAACTTGAATCAGATATAAAACAATTACAAGATCAATTAAATCAAAATGATGATTATATACATTATCGTCAATTAGATTTAGAACGTTTAAAAGAAAATTTAACTCAAGCTAGAATAACGACCAAAGTTTAATAGTTATTTATGTAGTATTTCGTAGAAAAAATGTAGTTTTGCTTTGTTTTTGTCTAATTCAATTTTCTTAACAGTATAATTAATGAGAATAAAAATAAATAGATTTTTTTTGTTCTTTTGTTTCAGATTTTATTTTGTGATATTAATTCTATTGTCAGATAATTTATGACTGCAAAACGAGGTGCTTTAATTATTTTTGAAGGTCTTGATCGAATTGGTAAAACTACGCAAAGCAAACTTTTACATGACTATCTTTCTCAAGAATGTGAGCTTCTTTGTGAACGTTTAGCATTTCCTAATCGGTCAACACAAATAGGTTCATTAATTGATAATTATTTACAACGTAAAATTGAATTTAATGATCATACAATTCATCTTTTATTTTCTGCTAATCGTTGGGAATGTATTGATACAATGCGTGCAAAGCTTCTTCAAGGTCATACATTAATTGTTGATCGTTATGCTTATTCTGGTGTTGCATTTACACAAGCTAAAGGTCTTGATAAAAATTGGTGTAAATCTTGTGATGTTGGTTTACTTAAGCCTGATCTCGTCATTTATTTTCATCGTAATAAACAATCAAATTCGCTATCTTATACGGGTGATGAACGTTATGAAACAAAATCTTTTCAAGATAAAGTTGAATTTTGTTTCGAACAATTACGTTTATCATCATCATCATCAGAACAATGGAAAGATATCAATGTACTTGACAAAGATAATACCACTATGCGTGATAAAGAATCTATACAAAATGAAATACGTTCCTATGTAAAAGATTGTCTTGATGGAATTAAAAGCAATCATATTGATGAATTATGGAAGGATAATTAGAAAAAAAAATATATATGTATTTCTTTTTTTTTTCTTTCTAGATATGTCAGTATTTAATTCTATTGAATATGACGATCTTATATATCGTCATCGACAATCAAGTGATATATTATGGTCATTAAAAAATTGGCATCATCCATTATTCGATAATAAAGAACAATCAATTAAATCAAAACAATTAATTAATAAAAATACACAAATATTATCAATAATAACACCTGTACATTATAAAACATTACCAAGAAATTCTGAACAAATCAAATTTGATGTTTTAAATAGTTTAGCATTAAAATATACAATTGAAACATTAAATAATGAATTAAATACATATGAACAAGCTAAATCTATTATTCAAGAAATGTCTCATCGTTTAAATATTCGAACAGCACGTTTTCTTGCATTTATATTTGCTAAAATATTTAATCAAGTTTATGAAAATATTTATATTGAACGAAATGGTATTGATAATATATATAATTTATATTGTTTAACACCAATAGATTCATCAACAAACATACCATCATCACCAATAACAATATCATCAACATTATTTGCTATATTAAATACATTTTCACGTTCATCATCATCATCATCATCAATTAATTCTGATGGAAATTTATTATCATCATCACCATTAACAACAAAACATTATATAACATCACCAAGAATTATTTATTTACCAACACATCGAAGTTATATGGATTTTATTATATTAACATATTTATGTTTTGAATATAATATTCCATTACCATGTATTGCAGCTGCACAAGATTTTCTTGGTCTTGGTTTATTAGCAAATTTACTTCGTAATTGTGGTGCATTTTTTATACGTCGTTCATTTCGTACTGATCTACTTTATTGGACTATATTTGATGAATATGTTAAAACACATTTAATACATGGTGATTATCCATTAGAATTTTTTATTGAAGGTGCACGTTCAAGAACATTAAAAACTTTATTACCTGTTCGACAAGGTATGTTAAAATCATGTTTAGAATGTTATTTTCGACGACAAATTGATAATTTAATATTAATACCTATTTCAATGAATTATGAAAAAGTTTTAGAAGATAATTTACATGCAAATGAATTATTAGGTATACCAAAACCAAAAGAATCAAAAAGTAGTTTATTTAAATCATTACAAATATTAAAAAAATCATTTGGAACAATGATTATCAAATTTAGTCAACCAATTCATGTACATGATGCTTATGAATTATTTAAAAAACAACAAGAACATAAACCAAATAGTAGGTTATTTAGAATATTACAGAAAAAGAAATAAATTACTCTTATCCAAGAGTGTTCAGGATAGAGCCATCGGATCGGATATGAGCACGAAAATTTTCAACCCGATGGGCTTTAGTTCGAAGCAACGAGATGGACATCTTATGTAAAAAAATTTGAATATTTCCCTGGAGAAGTTCCAGCGTTTTATTTTTTTTGGCTCATCTATTCCCAAAATATTGCGCAACCCCCGCTTCCCGTCTCAAATCTGATGAACTTTAGCAGAACTCTTCTGATTGACTTTCTATGTCATCGTTCGCTATCATTCATTCGGATGGTATAGAGACACGAATGCTATTACCATAGGTAAAATGTATTTATCAAGAATATTCCAAGATTCGTACTCTTCATTTATATCATTTTCATTATGTGATTTAGAATTGTAGGAAAACTTTCGTTCGTTAAAGTGAAAATTATTTTTAATCAGAATTTAATCATAGATCTACGCAATCAAGCTAGAAATATCAATGATCTTGATCATCAAAAACAAGATATATTCATGAATTTCGACAAGCGAGAGGCTAGCATCTCTAGCTCATCTCACTTTTGGATGATGTCTAAAAGATTTTCCACTAGACACCTGAAAACAATTTGTCAAATTCTAACTATTAGTTCTTTTCTTACTCGACAGTCTCTGTCTGACTGTCTGCTGTATCGCACTTACATATAAAAAAAATTCTTCATAAGTGTTCTGATTTAATGAGATCATTTCAATCAAATCAGATTATTATCATTTAACTTTATCTTATCAATCGATTAGTTTTTGAGATAAATGCATTATTTGTTATAAATTTACCAACTATTTCTGTTAAACACTAACTCTCGTAAAGAAAAATACAATTTTGTTTAATCTATTTTTTTTTAATTTTTAATCATTTCAGGCCACTGTGATCCTTTTAATCGACGTGTTCCACGTGGTATTCAACCACGCTCTGTCTGTCAATATGATGGATTCAATGAATTAGAAGAAAATTTTCTTGATGAAATTTCTTATCGAATCGTAAATGAACAACAAAGTTTAACAGCAATCTATCCAATAACTGTTGTTGCATTTTCTTTTCTTAATTCATCAATAACTATGTCTAGAGATCGATCAATGTCAATTGAACAATTATTTATTGATAAAAATACATTGTTTATTGAGAATGCAAATGTTCTTAAAGATTTTTCTACTCATTATGAAATATTTTGGCCATCAAATAATGATAAAAATAATTTAAAACAACGTCTTTTATCACTTTATTCAGATATATTTGAATTGATTGGAAATAATCATTTAAAATTAAAAATGACTGGTGATCGTCTAGTTGATGCTGCTCTTCTTATGAAATTAATTATGTATCGAAATATATGTTTACATTTCTTTGCTAAACCAGCTTATATTCTATTGGCATGTCAAGCTACTACTCAGGTAAAAAATAAAAATTTGAATCTTTCTTTGTATCGTATTTCCTTGCTCATATGTAAATCATATAAAAATCCAATTAGTTTTACTTTATATGATGTATTAAAGCATTATATATTCATATAAGAGTTCATTAGTATTTCTGTCGAATATTTTCTCTATAAAGATTTTTGCTGAAACGATTCTAGAGACTTTCAACCGCAATGATAGAAACAAAAGAATTTTTTTTTTTCGTTAGAACAAAATTAAATTATATTTGAAGGAACTAATTTCAAATTCGTTTATAATGGTAAAGCATGATGAAAAAAGCTTGAGTATTAAGAGCTTCTTCGGTAAAACAATTTACAAGAGAGTTTGCTTAGATGTCTGTTTGCAATTTCAATAATCTCTATTTTTGTCTCTAATCTTCTAGAGAAAACCCTAAAAAGATTTGAGTATCTATTGAAATTTAACAGAGCTATGGAATTTTTAATATGTTTATTTGTCAGAGACCTCCGTATGACTTCAAATTAGCAGAAAAATCGTATTTTTGAATTTCATCTTGAAATTATCTCTACTATTTGAAGGTCTGATATTCAATAGTTTATATAAAAAGTTTTTAGAACTTGAACAGTTAGTATTTCTGAGCTATGAGCTACTGCATATGTGGCCTTGAATTCGAGGTAATGTATCAAGAGAATATGTAAAACATGATTTTTTCAATAACCTTGGATCATACAGAGGCCACGAACAAACAGATATATTAAACATTCAATAACTCTGTTAAGTTTCAACAGAAACTTAAATCATTTTAGGTTCCTCCTTAGAATGTTATATTGGTGAAATATTATTCAAATCTAAAGGAGACGTTCGAAGAGGTTTCTTCGTTTAGAAGAAAACAAAAAGAAATATGCCCTGTAGATCAAATAAAATTTGTTATACATTATGAAATTATTTGTCTTCTGTCATCAGGACAAAAACTTATCTTAATATATTTGAATGAAAATCAATGTGTAATTGAAGAAAAACATTTCTAACAAACCAAAAAGAAAAAAATCGAGCGCTGGAAATTGTCATGTTCTAATTTGACATTTATATTCTTACTTCATGAATACGTCTGAATCGAATGGTTTCGATCAGAGAAAACTGTTTGTTATATATGAAATGTATAATTATTATAAGTGCCATATCGTTTTCTGTGCACATTTTTGATATTGTAAAAATAACAGACATAATGACTATTCTTTAAAAAAAGAACACCGTCATTGAGAAGTAATCTCTAATAAAAATAGGTACTTGAGTCATGTTGAGCGACATGATCAAGAGTGATGATCTTTTTGATTTTTATATTGTAATACCTGTATCCTTTTCAATGATAAAAGAAAGGTCTCAGTTAAAGACAGTTTAGATCTATTACCAATCAAAATTTCATTGAATTTTCTTTGTTTGAAGCAGTGTTGCCACCTTTTGAGGTCCGAAAAGCAGAAAATAACAAAAATTTTATCATCAAAAAACAGAAAAAAAGTAGAAACTATGTTTATGATATGAAACTGATTTTAAATTTTTGTTTTACTGTACTAATTAACAATTTTATCATCGAATTTTGGTTTTCACTGCGTAACATCAGGAAAGATAACCAACTAACAAATAAACAGAATTTTTGAACATGTTTTCTTTTTTTAAAGTGCATTCTTCATCTGATTTAAGAATTTTCGATAAATTTTGCTTGCCTAATTAGTATTTATTCATTTTAGTATATGAAAAGGAGAAATTCAAGCTAATCGTTACTTAAATCATAAGATTTCATAACTTATTATGCTTCTGAGTGTTCATAAGATTATCAATGTTAGCTTTTTATTGTGATGTTCAGAAAAATATTGATAACCAACAATTAATGTTGACTGAGTTGGACTTATTTTATATTCTTTTAAAAATCATTAATATTCGACGACTTTGAGCCATTCTCTGTTTAAGACACTTCTATATGATTTCTTTTTTTTCTGATTTAACTCTTTATGGCATATTTATTTGTTCAGCAACAACAACTACTTCGTGAATACCTTGTTTGCTAGTCTTGCTGTCATTACCATCTAGAACTATTTTTTTTCTGTTCCTTTGTCCTCAAAAATCATATTAATTCTTCCTGTTTCGTCGAATAAATAAACAAGAGAATGTATCTATTGATGTACATAAATTATATGAATAATAAAAAATACGATAGAAAACTATAGATAAAAAATTGATTAAGAAGCAAAAAATATTCATTGTAAGTTGTTTGTGATCAGTAGAAAATAAAAGTTATTTGTATAAAATAGAAAGAATTACAATAGAACACAAACATCAGTAGCTTTTGATACGGTTTTTATCTATTTATAGAAATGAAGACCTTCGAGATGAAAAGTGTTAATTAAAATTATAAATTATGCAGTATTAGAAAAAAGAAGAAAAATCTTCAAAAAGAAGAAATGACAGAAAAAACTTCATAAAGCAGAATTTTTCTGCTAAAAGCAGAAAAGGTGGCAACTCTGATTTGAAGGCGAGTTATTCAAAAGAAATTTTGAATTTTTTCGTCAGTAACCAAGAGTTTAGCATACTATTATGAAACGAAATGCCATGCAGGGAAATATTCTATATAAAAGTTGATCAATTTTCAATAAAGTAGGTCATTTCTTAATGATTTTTAACTGTGAAGATTTACGATAATAAAAATCTATCTTTGTTCTGATCTATAATGAATATAAACATCATTTCTATGGATCGAGGGATTTACTTTTATTATTCCGTCAAAATCACAATAGAGTTTCTCGTTAGTATTCAAACAAGAACAGAATGTGGCAAGGAAAAAAGAAGGCATTTAACTTCTCCGCGGAATTCATTAATCAATCTCATTTTCAGATATCGATCAAAAACAAACTAAGACTTATTTCACTCGTAAACTGATTATTTCTATACTTGTGATTATGGTCCTGTACGAGTAAGACTTTTTGCAATCGAAAGATACTTTCTTAATCATAGTACGATTTTCAAACTTTTATGTTATACGAAAAAGCGTACTATTTAATTTTTTTCCATAAATAGCAACAGAAAAAAAGGAAGTAATCTAGAATTCACTTGGTACCTATCTGCTCTTTTAACTCGATCAATATTTTTGAGCATACATTCACTTATGGCAGATAACACTAGAATGGAACTCGGTATTAGTATGAAACGTTCTAATTGTGTCTACATGCATGATTACTTTTTCCATCACGATAATAGTTAGTCACAGTTTTGATAACTCATTTTTTTTTCTCCATATATTCAGTCACTTCATCATAGAGCTCATTATCATCTATAGATGAAAAATTCAATAAAAAATGAATTCTTTTAGTAAAACAACACTGCTTTTTTTACATATAAGATTTGTTATCAAGTACAATAAATATAGCTTAGATTTGCACTCATATTCTCTTATATAAATTAGCAGTTTGATAAAGTAAAATTATTTTGACATGTCGGATCTCATTAATTACTGATTCAACTCCAGAAACTAAATAACCAATCGAGTTACAGAATAATATTTGTAACATGTTTTATAAGCTGCTAATATGATACGTTCGAATTACAGAATCAATATTTGTTTTATATTCATGCATTTTAACTTTTCTCACGCGAGATTTATCAATAGTTGTTTATGTCCTGAAGCAAGTTTTAGGATAACGAAGAAATGAAAGAAAACATTATTGTGAAATAGAAAGAACAAAAACTATCATTTATTATTATCATAAATGTCTATTTTACATAAAAACTTGTCAATAGTACTGACTCTATAATCATTTTTTTTGTTCATAACAGAAATAACAAAAACAAAAAAGTCATCATTCATTCTAGTTTTTTTTTCTATTTATTTATTTATTTTACTTGATTATATTTTAGTCATCAATTTCTTACAAAGAATTAAAAACTTATTATCATTTTTTTATACATTTATTTGCTTATGAATTTGTTTATGATAAATTTCCGATAGATAATATTGATGATAAATATTTTGATAAATATCTTTCATATTGGATAAAGAAAAATTATCTTCTATATATAAATGAATCAACATATGAAATTAATAAAAATTTTCTTGAACAAATTTCATTAATAACAAGTCCTTTTGAACAATATGCACGTGCTTATTTATTAATATATGAACAAGAAAATATTTTAAAAGAAAAAAATTTATCAATATTAATTAAAATTTATCAAAAAAATTTATTAACTAAAATTGATTCACAAAATATAATTAGTATATTAGCATCATCATCAAATGTTATAAGTAATGCTTTGAGAACATTAAATATAAGTCATACATCAACAACATTATCTCAAGTTCGTTATATGTTAACAAAAATATTTCAACCAATATCAATTCATTTTCGTGCTAAGTTATAAATTATTATTATCTTTTATTCTACTCAAAAAAAAAAACTTTTCTCCATTTTCTTTTTCCTAAAGATCTGTATCTTTTTTAATCATAAACATTTGTTATTGTTGTGTATTAGGTGAATTTTTTTTTTTATTTGTTTGTTTTTTTTTAAAGTAATATAAAGTTTGAACGACTTCGTGTTTTTCTTTCATTTTTTTCTTCTTGCAAGAAAATAAGCGAGTACTAGAGTAATAATTGCTTTTTATTCCATCATCAAGGCATTTTCTGTTCTTTTTTTTTTTTTGTATTCTATGTGTGAAGGTGTCCTTTGAGAAAGACAAATATTGATTGCATAGCAATTGCGTTTATTGGTATTAAAGCGAGAGATGACTCATATCCGACGCGCAGTCAGTTATTTATTTGAATGAGTCATAGAGTTGACGTGGATGAATGAAGGATAGAATATATATAATATACGTGGCCGAACTGTACTAGCAGTTATAGAAGCAACGAGAAATGTTTTCTTGGTTACGTGATAAGACAACACCAACTTATAGCAATGTTTCGAATGATCAGTATTCTATGATTTCTCAATCTCGACCTCAAACAGCATCGTCTACATATCATCAAAAACAATATTCGAACGGTAGACTAAATTTTTTATGATCTTGATCGAAATTGTTTTTTTTTCTCTAACAAATATTAATCGATCCATTGAGCTCTTTGTCTAAAAATAAGAACTAGAAAAAAAAGCAATGAGAAGAACAAAAAAATATTTGACGTTGTCATCAGTGTTTTTTTTTCTCTCTTGAGATTCTTCTTTTATCTCTATTTCTTCAACTTAAACTTCTTTTTTTTGTGTGTTCTTAAGACATGAGCATGAATATGATTACTATTTTTTTTTCCTATTTTCTATTTACTTTTTCTTTTTACTCTGCTCTATCTCTCCCTTTCTCATAGTAAAAAACAGATAAAACCTGTAAAATAATAAAAAAATTCACTAGCTTTCTGCAACAGTTACTAATATAAATGTAAAATTTTTTGCGCAAAACAAAAAAATAACTGAAGCAAATGAAATTCATTAACTATTTCTTTTATTACCGACTAAAAGCAACGAATAGAAGTATAAATATGAAGTAATAATAGTAATATACTTAGTACGTTCGCTCTGTTCTTTTTCTCTGTTACTAATATAAAATTCCATTACCTCCTATGTGACATTGACAGGTGTTTTTATCTCTAGTTAATACACTGCTTAAATGTATCCTATTCGCGATGATGTCTAGAAGAGAGGAAAAAAAAGACAAAGACATTTATTTTTTTTCTTTCCTATTTTACTTAATCAGTTTCTTTTCAGATTCAATGGCTGCTCAAACACTTCAACTTGTAGCTGCCAAATGTCCAACGGATGAACTTGCACATACAAATTGTGCTATTATTAATGAAAAAGATATTGATTCAAAACGTATTCAGTAAAAGAAAATTTTACAAACTATTTGATAAAATAATTGAGCATAATTATGTTTTTTTGCTTTTAATATTTAGACATATTGAATTATCATCTAATATAACACCTACGAAATATATATTTACAATAACAAAATATGGATTAATGCCACAAGGTAAAATTGGTTTTAATACACTACAAGTAAGATTTTTATTTTGAAACTTGTATTATAATAATAAATATCTATTTTCTTTTTTCTTTTAAGCGTCAATGGGCTGGTATTGAACTTGATCGAGCATATCAAATTCGACCTTATGTATTTGATAAAAATGTTCAATCTATTGCAACATTAGTACTTGTAGTCGATTTTTTAAGTAAAAAAAAGTATGCATGAATAAATTAGATATTTTTTTTTTCTTGAATTAAGTATTTTATTCTTAGTATAACAAATGATCCATATGATACAGATAAAATGGCTGTAGAATTTTTACAACAATATGTCGATCATGCATTTTCAGATGGACAAAAGGTATAGAATAAAAAATGTTTTTTTTTTTTAATTCAAATTTGAATTTTTGTTTTCTTAGTTACCATTCCAATTTATGGACAAAAAACCTTTAACATTAGCTGTCAAAGAAATTGAAGGTAGAAAAAAAATGTTCATAAAATTTCTTTTTTCTTTAATTGTTTATTATTTCTAGCTGCTGATTTATCTGCTGTTGCTCGTGGTCAAAATGCTAAAACACGTAAAATTTCACTTGGTGTTACACTTCCAAATACAATGGTTGTATTTGAACGTGCTGAAGGTTCATCAGTAAATTTAGTTGGAAAATCAAAAGGGTAAGTTAGAAGTAAATCCAAAGAATATTTAATAAAATATATACTTAATTAATTTTTAATAGAAAATCTCAATTTGTTTCAATTATTAATCCTGATTTTGATTTTAAAACAATGGGTATTGGTGGACTTGATGCAGAATTTAATGCAATATTTCGACGTGCTTTTGCTTCACGTGTTTTTCCACCTGAAGTTGTTTATCAATTAGGTAAAATTATTATTATAAGGTTGCGGAACTTCAAAGTTTGAGCGATTTTTATTTTTTTAATTTTTATACATGGTTGAATGCAGCTCGATGAGCTGAATCTGAGTATATATACTATTTTCAGAAAAAAAACTATTTTTGGATGTCAAAAATCCACTTGTGGGGAATCACGGACGAAATTCATACAGAAAACAGAGGAGGGGACTAGGGTTTAGTTTTTGATGAAAAATTATTATTAGTGAAATACATGTTATTCGACTAAGTTTTTCATGCTGTTTCCGAATATGACATAGGTTTCGTCAGAAAATCAACTTTTGATGGTCAAACAGTCGAATTTGGATATCATTTTTCCTAATCATTGAGGACATTTTGGCATTGTGGCCATATGTCTATAAAGAAAAAGAGTTAAGGAAAGAAAAATGTATAACTTTTATCAGCTCGATCTGGCGAATCTAACAATTGTGAAAGAAAGACTCTATTCCTATTTAAAAATGACTTGATGCTTTTTCCTTGGGGCAAAGTGCTGTTGTCGAACTGTGGATATCAATGGCATTTCTCAAACATGCATACAAGAGCTGGATGATCAGCAACTACTTTTTTAGAATCAGTTTATCATGTAGATGAAAAAAAAAAACTTTCAAAGCCATAGCAAATTTTGTAAAGGAGCTATAGACACTTTTCTCTAGAAATCTTAGGTTTTCCGAACTTTGGATTTTTTGCAGGTTTTTTGGGTTTTTGACATCAAAAAAGTAGTTTTTTTCTGAATATAGTATATATATTTGGATTCAGCTCGTCGACTTGCATTCAACCATGTATAAAGATAAAAACGACTCGAATTTTGAATTTTCGCAACCTTATATTTTACAAAAAACTTAAGTTCGCATTGATTAGGAATGAAACATTGCCGAGGCATCTTGTTATATGGTCCTCCGGGTACAGGAAAAACACTGATGGCTCGGTAAAAAATATTTATTTTATTTAATGTTTGAATTAAAATTTCGGTTTTTGTTGTTTGTTTCAGACAAATTGGTAAAATGTTAAATGCACGTGAACCGAAAATAGTCAATGGACCACAAATTCTTGATAAATATGTTGGAGAATCAGAAGCAAATATTCGAAAATTATTTGCTGAAGCTGAAGATGAAGAAAAACGAGTAAATAGTTCAATAATATTTTGTTGAAATTTATTGAATTCATTTTCTTTTTCAGCTTGGACCTAATAGTGGTTTACATATAATCATATTCGATGAAATTGATGCTATTTGTAAAACTCGTGGTTCTGTGGTTCGTTTATTTTATTTTATTTTTTTCTTTGTTTTATTCAATGTGTATATATAAAATAAAATTTTATTTCAATAGGCAAGTGGTGCTGGTGTTCATGATACAGTCGTTAATCAATTATTATCAAAAATAGATGGTGTTGATCAATTAAATAATATTCTTGTTATTGGTATGACAAATCGTCGTGATATGATTGATGAAGCACTATTACGACCTGGTCGACTTGAAGTACAAATTGAAATTGGTTTACCAGATGAAAATGGTCGATTACAAATATTAAATATTCATACAGCACGTTTACGTGAAAATAATAAATTAAGTTCAGATGTTGATTTAAAAGAATTTAGTGAAATAACAAGAAATTATAGTGGAGCAGAAATTGAAGGTTTAGTACGAGCTGCAATGTCATTTGCTATGAATAGACATATTAAAGTAAATTTTACAAAAAAAAAAAACTTAAGTTTGTTTTATTATAATTTTTGATTGAATATAATTTTTTTTAGGCAGGTAAACGTGTTGAAATTGATCCAGATGCTGCAGACAAATTAAAAGTTTGTCGAGATGATTTTATGCATGCATTCGAAAATGATATTAAACCGGTATGTTTTAGAAGAGACAAAATTTATATTAAATAATTAATATTTAAATTATTATAGGCATTTGGTGTTAGTAAAGAAGAATTTGATTCATATATTTCAAATGGTATTATTGTTTGGGGACAACCTGTTATTGATGTTCTTGAAGAAGGACAATTACGTATACGACAAACAGTTAATAGTGAAATGACACCACTTGTATCAATTTTAATAGAAGGTAATTTTAATAAATTAATAGAAGAAAAAAAAACTACTAAAATATTATATTATTAAAATTATTTTGAAAAGAATTATAATTAATTAAAATACAGCAATGATATCTTTTAATGATATTAGAACATATTGTTTCGTTTAATAAAAGTTTACTTGAAAATTATTTTACTGTTATGTACACTAAGGATAAGAAGATGTTTAGTTACAACGATGAATCTTTTTGAAGTCTTACATTTCTTACAGGCACTATGAGTTTATACCGCAAGAGTACATATGAATGAGATTATTTGTTTTTGGGTTTGATCTCGGTGAGAAAAAAAGTTTAATCTTGATTCTAGTCCTAGCGACGGCATCAAGGCCGGAACTATCTGATACATGAGTCGTGACCATATGTCATTCGATACAAGTTTTACATAGCCATAAAAGGTATCGTTTCTGATTACGGCAGAATTGGGATCCTCTTGTCTATATGTACGCACGAGCTATTTGAAATAAAGTCAAGTGAATAGCTTTAAATTTGATTATTTTTTTTTCTTTATTGTAGGTCCACCAAATAGTGGCAAAACAGCATTAGCTGCACATCTTGCACTTCTATCAAAATTTCCATATTTAAAATTTTGTACAGCACAAACAATGCTTGGTTTTTCTGAATTAGCTAAATGTCAACAATTAAAAAAAATTTTTGAAGATGCACATAAATCAAGTTTATCATGTAAGTTAAGAAAGGAAATTTTTTCCATTATGATAATTTCTGTTTTTGTTTTTCGATTTATAGGTGTTGTTGTTGATGAACTTGAAAGTTTACTTGAATATGCACCTGTGGGTCCACGATATTCAAATAATGTTTTACAAACATTAAAATTATTATTTAAACGTTCACCACCAAAAGGTCGTAAATTATTAATAATAGCAACAGCAACACAACGTGATATACTTGAACAACTTGGTTTATTAGCATCATTTTCCAAAGTAATACATTTATCAAATATGACTACTGGTAAACATGTACTTCATGTATTAAATGAAATCGAACATTGTTTTAATGATAATGAAATGAAAGTTTTAGAAAAAAAATTACAAGATAAAAAGTAAGTTATTTTTGTTTTGGTTAATTATTATAAAGATTTAAGTATTATTTTTTTTTTAGAGTATGGATTGGTATTAAATCATTACTGGATCTTATTGAAGTAGCACGTCAGGCGAATGAGAGCTCACGTGTTCCACGATTTCTTGGACAACTTGAAGAAGTTGCTGGCATGATTTAAAAATATATATCATACTGGAATAGTTTTTCCTTTATAAATTTATTCTATACACTTTAATAAAAAAAACTACTTAATAAAAAAAAAAAATATGCACATTGTCTACAGTTCGAAAAAAAATATCTGTTGGTTTTTCTTGTTTGATTTAACTTTCTATCTGTCGTATGTATCGATGTCATTTGTTTAAATATTTTGTGCAACAAGAGCTATGATTTTTCTTTGTATTTATATGATTTATTTTTTCATGATTATTTTTCTTTACTGTGCATATGAATTAATGTTTCTCTTTTGTTGTTTTTATTTTATCATCGTAAGACGTATAGATATCTATTCATTTATAAAGGATGTTAGAAGATAAATTTGACATTTCTAGTCAGTTAGATGATGTCTTTGATATCTTCTATTTATATGTGTGACTGATTTCAAAAGATATACGAAAGTACTATTTTATTGCTGTATGATTTCAGGATTCTCTATCATTCCTATATGCAACAAACGATTCTCTTTTTTTTTTATTCGAACGCGAGATAAAAAAAAACCATATATTTATTCCTAATTGCTATCTTGAGCATAATTATTTTCATTAAGATATCATATGTTATTTATGCAATATGTTTCTATTACATTCTGTGTTTAAAATCATTTTCTTTTTTTTTAGTGTAACTTTTTTCGTTATTTTTTAGTGTGTCTTTATCTTCATAGTTGATCTTACGTATTTATGTGTGCATTTTTCTGTTTCAAAAATCAAATGAATATAATCATCTCTTTTTAGATTGTTTTTAATTAACGAAAAAAAAGTCATGGAAAAATTTAGCATTACTCTTGCTTTGTTTACTATATTTTGGGGTTTGATCGGTATTGTTTTACCGTTTCTTATTCCCAAAGGACCGAATCGACGGTAAGATTTCTCATATATTTGTTCTATTTCATTTTGATTTTGGTTTTTTTTTCTATTTTTATATAATTAGTCTTATTCAAACAATGTTAATATTAACATCGGCCTGTTGTTGGCTCTTGTATGCTAAGAAATTTTTTCCACTAAAAACTTCTTATCTATGTATATATTTGTGTTTAATTTTATTCTAGTTGGTTATGCTTTTATCTTCATCAATGGAAACCATTATTTGGACCTCAACTTATAACTATCGATGCTCGAATATTACGCCAACTTTGGGGCACAGATTTTTAAATTGAATCTCTCATTCCGTATATATCATTCAATAAAATAATATTTCCCTACATTTATGTTCCTTATTAATATATAGAAATGTTTTTAGTCAGACTTTTCTTATCATATAATTATATATACATATATATCTCACACAGGCAGAACACCGTCAGCATATTTTTCTTTTTATTTTCAGTTCTGCTCTCCATGCCTTTTTTTGTTGTTGTTTCTCTGTCTGTTCTCGTTTAGAGTATGTGGTTTCTTTTATGTTGTATGTATGCAATCGAATGCTTAGTTCTTTGTATTGTTTTTCTTCGTCTGTTTACTTTATTTTATTATTATCGAGATATGCATAAGAGAAAAACATTTAAAAAAAGAATGAATTAATCTACACATCAAGTTACTGTTTTTTTCTTGAAATTTTAGATTTGTACCTAGTTTTCTATCGAACTCTGAGTAGAATACAATCAATATGAGTATGACTTACAGTGGTCCCAAAGTTTTAACCATTGTTCTATCACGGGAACACGGCTATGCTGCTGGTGTAGCATTGTCATCATGGTTTGTCTTACAATACATGGGTATTAATGTAATGAAAGCTCGTCAAAGGTAAAGTTTTTTTTTTTTTTTTTTATAAACTTTATTAATCTACGAAAAACTTTCATTAATATAATTATAAATAGAAGAAAAATCTATTTGGAGATCTATAAACTCATCTTACAAGAAATTTAGAAAATACATTATTCTTATTAATCATCTTCAATTAGAGTAATTAATCAATAATGTTGATCTTTGATTAGGTCTAAGATAGTTGTTAACCAAAACACTTTCTCATATGTCTGTGAGTATGGATAAAGAGAAAATCCAGAACACACCTCCTCCTGCCTCCCATAGGTACTTTCTTTACATCCACACCTATGAGCAAATATCATAGTTAGCAACTGTTCGAGTGCATTTTTATTGTTTTGTTCTTTTAGTACTTGATATTGCTTTAAAACAATTCTTTATAATTAGTAAAAAGGTTTTATTATTTGAATGTATTAAAAACATTATTTTTGAAATAATATTTTATATAATGCTTCAGTTTGATTTTATTCGTTAAAATTAAATTATATTCCAAAGTTTCTTATTGTTCAATTCAAACCTTTTCTTTTATTTAAAACTATATTCATTTAGATATAATGTTGAATATCCAGCACTGTATGCACCTGAATCTAGTCCTCAAGGCAAAGCATTTAATTGTAAGTTAAATATTTGATTCTATCTTTATATTAAACATTCATTTTTAGGTGTTCAACGTGGACATCAAAATACATTGGAGAATTATCCAGAATTTCTTCTTATGCTAGGTTTAGGTTCCATCCAATACCCACTTGTTTCATCAATTGGTGGAGTTGTTTGGTTACTTGGACGTATAGTCTATTTTCATGTATGAATATTAAGATTTTCTATAGTTTTAATTTTTGTTACAGTTCTTTTTTATTTTTTGTTTTCAAGGGTTATTCATCTGGTCAACCAGAAAAACGTAACTATGGTGCCTTTGGCTACATTGGATTATTCACAATGATGGGTTGTACTCTCAGAACCATTTATAATCTTCTTCGTCGTTAAAAAATTCAAATATTAGTTCAGCTAAAAATAAATAACAAACTTGGCAATCAATTCAATTCTATTTTGTTTTCTATTTTAATCCAACGAACAACGTTTCAAAAAAATATATATATTTTATCATCCTTTTCTTTATCTGTAGTTTCTTGGTACACCTTGACATATTCTTTTTCAAAAAACATACTTTAGAATAAATTGTCTTGCCTAGAATTTTATTTTTCTTTTAATACAAATTTGAAAACTATTAAAATAAGATCAAGTAACAAAGCAAGAGTTCTATGAAAATTATTTATCGATTAGAAAAAGAAAAATAAGCAAGAAAGTAATAGACATGTATGACGCATCATCAAAATCATTGAGACGGTACATGTTTGGCTATAAGGATGATAAATAAATGTCGAATATCTGTTATGTGACATAAAAAAGAATGAAAAGTTTTGATGATTAACGATGAAGTGTGTAAGTATTGAACTGTTGAAAATAAAACTAATGTTGACGTGTTTAGCACAAGACTAATCGCCAAAGTACGATCAATTATTGGCTTAAAATTTCTAGTACACTATTGACAAATAATTAGCAAAGCATCAAAAAGTAAAATTTGATGATACCTAAATATTAATATTAATGATAAAGATTTTTTCCTATCAACAGTTTTACAAAATCAACTGGATAGTTTTTATGAAGTCAGGAATATAATGGGAGAAAATGTTAATTGTAAAATATAGTTTTCGTGTTTTTCAATTTTTTGTCTTATTACGAAAACCCAATACTTTAATTTATATTCAGACGAATAGAGTCTTATAGATCAACAACAAAACGACTAAACACAAAGAGATAGAATGGACAATGAACACAAAATAATGGACTGTATATATAAGAATAAGAAGCCAAAACTCAGTTAATATTGATGCTGCCATTCTTCACTACTGTTCTGTCAAACCTTCGAGAAATTAAAACTATGATAAATCTTGATTTTTGTTACTCATTATTAAAGAAGAGCATCAATAACGATTACAATTAACCATTCAAAATAAAGCGTTCCAAAAAAACTTCAATGTGTTGTCATTTAGGTCCACCATCTTTTTATTTTCGAGTCAATCATCTATATTGAGATCTTTATTTTCTTCAAGTCATAATTCTTTCATTTTCTGCCATATTCGTTGCTAGGATTTTACTACAAAAACTAATTATTTAACACTATTCACTTGACTTAATAACGATCTTTATTTGCCTTGTAGTTTCATCTACGTTCCAAGATTTATCATTAAAATAAATGGATTCTGAAATACTTACTTCATTTTCCCATACCCACTCGATTCTACATATTCATGTACGTCTTACTTTATCAATACACTTTTATATATATACAACTTCATCTTACAAGAACATACAAAACTAAATCTTCTTCATCATTTCTCACATGATCTATGTCTCATAATATCTAATTACTTCTTTTCTTATTGATCTAATCTAAACAAGTCTTACAATCAATTTACTTTCACGTCAAATATATGTTTATTTTTTGTTCATTTCCATATAATTCTTGTCATTTTTTCAGAACTTCTTGACAATGATCCATGTAGTATAGTAGTTCGTTCACTAATGTACAAACATTATATTAAACAAATAGAAAATTTTCTTCATCATAAAAAAATGATTCAGCATACTATCTTCTAAGTTCATATACTTTCATGTACTTGTTATTTTGTTTCTTTTATATTTATCTCTCTTTTCGTTTTAGTTCAATTGCAAAATGCTATCTCACAATAATGATGTCATCAATCGTTTTTCTCATATGTTATTTTCAATGACACTACTACTATTTCAACAGTTTTGCATCAATATATCAAACAATTATTGAATTTTACATTTGATAATTACCACAATGGTATAAACATCATCGTGGAACTTCTCATATTTTATATAGAAAAATCATAATTTTACTTTTTATTGATTTCATTCATATTTGTTTTCTCCAAATTGTTTTTCGAAGAGGAAAAAATTATGAATGTATGATTGAATATATAAACATGAACTTGTCATACTCTGCGTTTGTGTCAGTCAGATAATATTTATTCTGATTTAGCTGCTGTGTATGAGACTATATGCTAATAAATGGAAAATGAACAAAGTTCTTGTTTCACCTTAAAATAATAGTATTTAGTCTTCTCATTTTATTGTCTATGTCTTCTTCTTTTGTTCGAAACATACATATGTTTAATGCCACAGTTCAACATCAAATTCTATGCATCTAGTTAAAATATATAAAACATTTACCAGCTACCTCAAAATTAAAGTGAATGAGAGGTGTTTTTGTTTGTGCAAAACAAAACGATGATTCGAATGTTTTGATACGGATCATTGCAAATTGAGAGAAACGTGCCGAATTGAAGACACATACAACTATAAACATGTGTCGGTACATTTACTATCGATATACAATTACTTTGTCTAAGACATATTGTGTTTTGATAAAACAACTGAATCATTAGTACTTTTTGAAATTAACAGTAGTATTATTGATTGATGTTTGAGCAATGGATGATTTTTCTATATTAACAGTTCAATGGTTGATTAAATACTTTTGTGACGAGATAATATGAAAGTGTGTCTAACAAAAGAGAAAGTATGATTCTCGGCTAACTCATCACATTTGTACAATATATGAAAAAGTAATCAATCGAA